AAAAAAACCATGGGTTTTTGCACCTCGACCACGCCGATCCCCGCAGAGGGTCGCGCGAGCAGGTTAGAAATCGCAAAAAACCATGGGTTTTTGCACCTCGACCACGCCGATCCCCGCAGAGGGTCGATTTTCGTGTAGTGTCGTCGGCACTACCCCGCCGCCCTAAGAAGAGATTTTAACTCTTCGCAAGTCAATTGCACTTGACTCCTTGCACTTGCAACTTGCACTCGACTCCTTACACTTGCAACTTGCACTTGACTCCATGCACTTGCAACTTGCACTTGACTCCACGCACTTGCAACTTGCACCTGACTCCTTGCACTTGCAACTTGCACTTGACTCCTTGCACTTGCAACTTGCACTTGACTCCATGCGCAGCTCGCAATGACTCACATGACTCCTTGCAATGACTCCTTGCAATGACTCCTTGCAATGACTCCTTGCAATGACTCCTTGCAATGACTCCTTGCAATGACTCCTTGCAATGACTCCTTGCAATGACTCCTTGCAATGACTCCTTGCAATGACTCCTTGCAATGACTCTTTGCAATGACTCCTTGCAATGACTCCTGCAATGACTCCTTGCAATGACTCCTTGCAATGACTCCTTGCAATGACTCCTTGCAATGACTCCTTGCAATAACTCCTTGCAATGACTCCTTGCAATGACTCCTTGCAATGACTCCTTGCAATGACTCATTGCATTGACTTTCATGATGATGATTCCTTGCAATGACACCTTGTAATGACTCTCATGAGAACAACTCAAGTGAACCCAGCGGAAGAACCCTTCGCCATGCTTTCGGGAAAAACAATAGCGTCAAACACCGACTACGACCAAGTCGAGACACCGGCGTCGGCGAAGCCGCAGAACTGCTTGGCTCCTGGCAACAATCAGCACAGCAAAACAAACACCAGCAAACCTCTCCAGATTTCGATCCTGGCCTGTGGGCACAGCTTCTCCACGACAGCGGCAGCTAGGTCTGCCTTGGTCACGTTGCTGCCTGCGACCCATTGGCGCACATCCAGCTGTCGGGCGAGTGCGCGAAGTTGGGGTTGGGCTTTGGCCGCCTCTTGCTGCAGCCACGCTTTGCCATGCTGGGCCGCGCCAGCCTGAAGCCTAGCTACTTCGAGCTCCATGACTTCTGTTTGAGCCAAATCTCGATGATCATCCGCAAGGTGCCACATAACAACCAGCCGTGTGCGCCATGCCCGTAAATAAGCCGTGTGCGCCATGCTCCCCGCAACTTCTTTCATGATGAGAACTCCTTGCGTCAAACTCCTACAAGTGAGTGGCCTGAAAGCATAACTCCCCACGATGTGCGGTAAACTTGTTGAACCCCGGCCTGGCACATGCGCAAGTTGCTCTGCGCAAGTTGCTTTGCGCAAGTTGCTCTGTGCGAGTTGCAGTGTGTGCAAGTTGGCGCGAGACAGCACCAGGCAAGGTGCTCTGCGCAAACTGGTCGGTGCAAGTTGGTCTGCGCAAGTTGCTCTACGCAAGTTGCACTGTGCAAGTTGCTCTGCGCAAGTTGCTCCGCGCAAGTTGCTCCGGCAAGTTGGTCCCTGCAAGTGGCTCCCTGCAAGTTGCTCTGTGCAAATTGCGCTCCCTGCAAGTTGCTCTGTGCAAGCTGCTCTGTGCAAGTTGCTCTGTGCAAGTTGCTCTGCGTAAGTTGCTCTGCGCAAGTTGCTCTAGGCAAGGCGCTCTGCGCAAACTGGTCGGTGCAAGTTGGTCTGCGCAAGTTGCTCTGTGCAACTTGCTCTGCGCAAGTTGCTCTGCGCAAGTTGCTTTAAAATGCAAGTTGCATCTTGCGACGCCGCCCGCGGACCAGGGAGGAATCGAACCCGCGACCCGCCGGTTCCGGGAGCAGGCGCGCGAACCACGAGACAACTCCCGAGGACCAGTTCGAACAACAAAAGTCGCAAAAAACCATGGGTTTTTGCACC